TGCCAGCAAACAGTTCCAAGTGCAGAGCAATCAAACACATGATCCCCAGGACAGGCACGTGATGCGTCCCTTTGAACACAATCTCCATGAGAGTAGGGCCTCTGCCCTTTCCCAGGTGACCACCTGGGAGCCCAAGAATCACACCTGTGATTGGACAGGGATCTCAAATGGAAAGGTGGTCTCTGACTTTCTGAGTCCTGGAGATGTAATCATGTCCTACAGAATGAGGTCCATCTGTCAAATTCCCTTTGGCAGGCATGAGAAATGATGCAGTGAGTAGGACAGACTCTGTGCCTACTATTAGGGAGATCAGCCAAGTCTTGAACTTGGCTGAGGACTTCCTGAAAACTTAGAATAGCCCGCCTGGTCTGCTTCAAGGATGCTGGGCCTTTGGCCTGGGAGAAGATGCCTGGAGGAAACGGCTCTTGGGCAAAGGGGTAAATGAGTGACAGTCAGGCTCCTGTTTACTGAGTATTTACCTGATGCTGAACATTGAGCTTACACTTTCTCTGCAGCTCATCTAACTCTCTCAACATCTTATAAAGCAGGTGCTGGTAAGCCTCTTTTACAATGCAGGCCACTGATGCTGGGGAGGTGAAGTCACCTGCCCCAGGCTATGCAGCCTGTGACACAGAAACCAGGACCACACCCCACAGCTGCCTGGTTCCAAAGCCAATGATGCAGCCACACACTGTATTGCCTCCGCGGGAACATGAGTTGTGTTTAGGAAAACGCACAGTGGGGGCTCAGAGGCCCTGTCTGCTGCTCACTCCTTAAGAAAGGTGTGACAGAGGGTGGCCTCACGTGGACGCCCAGTGATTCCCACCCAGACTCCTTTCTCCGTTCCAGGAAGGGGATCACCCCAGCAAGGTTGGGGCGGTGCCAACACCGGAGACTGGCTCAGGGGTGAGGGACAAGCAGGTCCCAGCAAGTCAGAGGAGCCAGAGGCGTCTCCAAGACCTGTCTTACTGGTTTCTCACAAGCATTTGACCCACAAAGCCAAACAGTATTGGGAGGGTTGGAGGGTGTTTTTGGTCCTGGGGTCAATCTCCTGTGAAAGCTGGAGCTGGCCTCAGCATTGGTTCTAAACTCCTGACCAGAAGGATAACCATCCCTACAGCCCTCTCAACACACACACACACACACACACACACACACACACACACACACACTCAGCCACCATACCAGCAGTCTTACAGTAATAACGCCTCTTCTTGAGCAGCACTGGCCTGCTGCCTCCTTGCAGAGGCTCTCCTTCCTGTGACATCTGTAGAGGTCTCAATGCTCCTAAGCGAAGGGGACCCTCCTGTCTTCCAGGACTGTGGCGTTCTTTCTAGGAAGAGTTGGGGTTTCCCTGGCAACAGCAAGAGGGAGCTATACTGAGAGGGCCCAGGGGAGAGAATGAGACCTGGGCAGGAGAGTTGACCTCCAACAGCTGACACCAAAAAGGCTCACAGCTTTCTCTAGCAAACCTGCCCACTTCTCCCCTGTCTACAAAACCACATCCTTCTCCTCATGGTTCCAGGTTCACCTTCAGCAAATCTGACTCCCATCAGGTGCGGTTATTCTGTGTCTCTCAGCACATGTTCATGCTTCTTATGTGGCCCCATGGAGCTCAGCTGTGGGATGCCAAGCAAGTGACAGTCTCTGCAGCCTTGGGCTCCTTGGCAGGGCACACCCCCACCCCCTGCTCCCAAGGAGCCTCACAGGAGGTGCAGCCTGTAGATGCACTTTAGCTATGAAGATACCATGAAGCATGGGCCAACCGAGTGGCTCAGTTGGTTAAGAGCGCAAGCTCTGAGCAACAGGGTCACCGGTTCGATTCCCATATAGGCTAGTGAGTGGCGCCTGAGTTGAGCTGCTGCTGAGCTGCCGCTGAGCGGATGGCTAGCTGGTGAGAGCATGTGTTCCTAACAACAAGGTTGCCGGTTCAACTTCCACATGGGATGGTGGGCTGCATCCTCCCGCAACTAAGATGGAACACAGCACCTTGAGCTGAGCTGCCAACGGGCAGCTGGATGGCAACTAGACTTGGAGCTGAACTAGCTGTGCCCTCCACAGCTAAAATTGAAGGACAACAACTTGGCTGTTCCCCTTCCCCAATTCCTTAATAAAAAAAAAAATCTGAAAAAAAAAAAGATTTTTTTTAAGGGCCGGCTGATTGGCTCAGTTGGTTAAGAGCTCGCTCAAGGGTTTGAGCTCTGAGCAACAGCGGTTCGAGTCCAGCCCGAGCTGAGTTGCCGCTGAGCTGAACAAGTGGCAGGATGGCTCAGCTAAAAAAAAAAAAAAAAAAGATACCATGAGCACGAAGCCTTTCTGCTTCTCTCCCACTTCCTCCAAAGAGTAGGGCTGGGGTGCACCCAAACTGCTGTGACTTAGACGAGAAGAGGAAGAAAGGGGCTCCATCAAGCTTAATTAGGGTTTGGCAATGAACGCTGCTTTGTTCCCCCTTTCCCATCCCCGACTCTGGCCATCAGATGCCCTGCAGTGTTGGTCACTCAGGATGGTGATCCCTGATGCTGGCCCAGGGCAGACAACTGATCGCCCATTTAAGCAGGAGGGTGGGTGAGTGGCAAAGCATGAAGAAATGATTTCAGTGTTGACTTCTCCTCTGAAAATAGAAGGCACTGAGTTGGAGAGGAAGCAGAACCCAAAATGGAGGGCAGAGGATGGAGACGTACCCAGCCGGAAGCCTGGCTCACTCTCCAAATTCTGGGTGGCCTTGGGCATGGGACTTTACCTCCTGGAGACCCCCTTTCTACATGGACACAATGGGAGTGACATGAACAATGGTCACCATCCTGTCCCATGACGACGCTTAGCTAGAAGCCTCTGCATCTGTTAGGGGCTGATGCTCCCCAAAGCTGAGTAGTGTTCAGAGCCTTGCACTGTTTGATGTGACTCAAACCTCTGGGCAGATGTTTTATTTACCAGTTTAATCAAGAAAGGTATAATAACCAAATTGAGAGCAAGGTCCCCTTTAAGCAGATATTTTCTGGAATGTTGGTTTACGTACGTCACACAGGAACCAGCTTGCTACTGAACATGAGATTTGTCATAGACTAGTAACACCTGCCGTTGATTAAAATCCTTTGACTTTTGATCCTAAGTGTAAAATGTACTACCCTATGTTACAGATGAAGATATTGAGACACAAGTGAAGTTCCCAAATCAGCAATGGCGCCAGAACCAAGAGCTCAAGTCTCCTGATAGTGTCTGAAAAGCTCTCCGTTGTTTATCATGTGCACAAGGAAAGATAATAAGCATCTTGGATTTTTAATCATAAGTCCTCCTAATAAGATGAGAAGAAAAAGGAAGTTTAACATACAGATGTGTATCTTCAAATATTCTTAAAAAAATAATGGAGCTGGGTTGTTCCTGTTGTTAGGCGCCCTTCCCTTCCCTTGTCGCTTACCAAGCAGGTGGACCCACACAATCTACCGATACTGGTTGTCAGTTTCATTGAGAAATTAATTGCTCAATTATGTATTGAGGCCTCTTTACTATTCCAGCACAAAGATGAGCTAGCAATGCTTCTTCATGATGTCTTCATAAAAGGACCTGGACAAGTGGAGCATATCCCTTAGTCTTTTTCTCTGTCTGGGTCCCCTGGACTCGGGGTGGGCTAGGGGTGGGTGTGCAGTGCCCCGTGTGGTGGGAGGTGCTTGCCTGCCTGTCCTTTGGGGAAGGAGAGACTCCTCAGCCTGTTTATTCGATGGGCTGAACCAGAGAGAAATGGAATTTACCATGTTTCTCAGAAAGAGGATGAAGGAGTTATTCATTACATGTAGGTGGAGGTGGAGGTGTCATGGGAATATATAGGGACTAAGAGGGAGTTTGCTTGAGAAAGTCACTGTGGGGACTCCAAGGCAAATGTCCCCTCTCAGCTTTGGGTCTTACTAGCCACGGAATTGTGGACAGTCCCCAAGGGCCGATCTCTTGGTCTAAACTCTGCTACTCAGATCGGTGGGCAGAGATTATTTTCTTCCAGAGATCAGATAAGACTGGGCTGGGGAGGTTTCCAGGCTGGGTTGCTGGGCTAAGGGCTGACTCTGAGTAAACCTGCAAGCTTGGCCATTTTCGCAATTACAGCCACCCTTTCTAGGTCCTTCTACCCCCTAGGATTTTCAGGGACTGGCCTGCTCGGACCACCCACTGCTCTCCAGTCTCCCCGCAGCTCTGTGAATATACACAAACACCCTCTCTTTCCCCATGCCTGCACAGAGAACCTTAGGCTTAAGAGGAGAATAGAATTGGAAGAATCAAGCTAGAGAAAGAGACTGTGGGGGGCAGGAGCTTTTTCCTCACCTTGGAAGTCACACTTTGAACAGCCACTTAACCAACAATTCTCAGCCCCACTTGTGCACCAGGTTCTTGATGCCACCAGCGACTTGCTTTCTTGAAGCTATAGGCAGCTGGCCACCTCTTCCATGTATAGATCTGTTGAGGGCCCTGGACTGGGGATTTGATGACATTCATGGTCCTACCCTGGTAGAATTCCACTCAATTCTACTACGCATCTGCCCCCCACCAACCCCACCCTTGGGACAAGAGCTGGACAGCAGCCCGGAGAGAGGGGAACAGGACACGGGCCACAGCACTCCCACTCTTCTGGGGCCTGCTGTGTCCCCTGAAAGAGGTTCCCTTCCTCTTCCCAGCCTCAGGCTCTGTAAATTGGGGAAGCCATCCTGATGCTTCAGCATGGCTGGGCACTCTCTCTGTAAGAGTCACCTGGCAAAAAGCTTCTGTCTGAGTCAGAATGGTCTCCCAGGGCCAGGAGAGGCTGGCAGGCCCTGAGGGACCCCAGGTGGCTTCCTCCAGCCTCTCCAGGGCGGGCCCTGCTGCTACAATTCCTGCATTTCTGGTCTGCCGCTGGTCTGTCCCTCCCTGGAGGAGGATTTCGCCCTAGGACATGGGGTGGGTGGGGAGCCTGCCTCCTCCCTCCGATTGTAGAAAAGGAGGGGTTCCCACCCCATGGCAAGGCTGCCACCCGAGCTGTGCCCTCACACCAACGCAGCCTCATCCCAGCCGCTGGTCCCCAGCTCTGACAGGAGCCCTTCGAGCTGGTTGGCAGCAAGTAACATGGCAGAGGAACTACCTAAAGAGCAGGTGGCCGAGTTCAAGGCAGCCTTCACCCGGTTCGACAAGAACGGGGACGGCACCATCAGCGTGCAAGAGCTGGGCGATGTCATGCGGACCCTGGGCCAGAACCCGTCAGAGGCCGAGCTGAAGGACATCATCGCCCGGGTGGACACAGACGGCGACGGTGCCATCAGCTTCGAAGAGTTCCTGGCAGCGATGGTCAAGAGGATGAAGTCCATGGGCGGCGATCATGACATGCGGGAGGTCTTCCAAGCCTTCGACCTGGACGGTGACGGCCACATCACCGTGGACGAGCTCAAGCAGGCCATGGCCCAGGTCGGGGAGAAGCTCTCCCAGAAGGAGCTGGAGGCCATGATCCGGGAGGCGGACGTGGACCAGGACGGGAAGGTGAACTACGAGGAGTTCGCTCGCATGCTCTCCCAGAAGTGAGGCCGGCCTGGCGTGTCCTCCGCCCACCTGACTCTGGCTCTGGCGGCCCCTGCACGTGCGCTGGGGCTGAGAAGGCAAAGTCTGGGTGGTGGGACGCCTAGCCCCTCTTGGCCTGGGTTCTGCACTGTGGGGAGCCCCTCTGCACCTGGGGGACCTGAGGCTGCCCCTGTGCTTCTCCACAGTGAATGGGGGTGCTCCCTACCTCACAGGGCTGTTGTGAGGAACCCCGACACCATGTAGTGGCCCAAATAAAAGGAATGTCAGCTCCAAGCTTGAATGTTTGATTGGAAAGTCAAAGGGCCCCAAACATTGGCATTTGGGGTTCTTTTGAGCCTTTACCCCTTGCACTGGGTCCCAGCAGGAGAACCAACCTGAGCAGGCCAGACTCCCGCCTGCCGCCTTCCCTTTGGACCTGAGGAGGAGGAGGAGTACGGGGGTGGTCTGGAGATGGAAGGTGCAAGGTTCTTTGCCCGAGCTTCTGGGTCAGGACAGCAGGGCGGAGCCCGGGTCCTAAGACTGGGACACTGCCTAGGGCACAAACAATAAAGTTTACCATCCTTTAAACAGCCAACTGTTCTTCAGGCTCAAATTCGTGTGTGTGTGTGTGTGTGTGTGTGTGTGTGTGTGTGTGTCTTGTATTTGAGATGCAGAGTTGTCTAGATTTGAAAACCACAAAGGTGGAGGCACTTGGGTACCAGACCGGCCTCACTGGAATAAAGACAGAACTGTTGGGAAGTGGGAAGGACAGAGGTGCTGTGATGGGCAAAGGGGAGTTGGTGGCATTTGAAGGGGGGCCACTTGCCAGTCCGGCCTTAGGGGACACAGCCTTGGGTGTTCCTAAGCTGAGAGCTGGTCATCTGTGAGATGTTTCCTCCTGTGCTGCCCCCCAGGACCCAGCACTCTGCTGCTACCGCCTAATGGCCCCTCTGTGAGTTGGGGGCTCTGAAGTTGTTCCCCAGGCGGTGGGTGCACCCCACTGAGATGGTGAGGAGAGCCAGGATGACGGACATGGGAGATGAGGGTCGGCCTGAGGCCGCCCCACCCACGCTGATGTCAAGAGGCACCATTTGAACTTGTGTTTGTGGTACTGCTGTGTGGTTTTTAAAACAGACCCACCTGAGGCTTCTTGTCACAGCTCTGAATTTCCAAGGATCCCTCGTCCTGGTTCTCAGAGATAGTCTAATCTGGGCTCATCTTGCAGGAGAGGAAACCGAGGCCCAGGTTGGTTAAGGGACCAGTTGGCATTGTCTGCAACCAGCTGTGTGACCTTGGGTGCCATTTAGCGATGGGTTTCTGCTTTCGCCTTCGTGAAATGAGTTTTCTTTTGCTTTTGTTTAACCGAATGAAATTTTTGCCCAAACTATCAGTGAAGACTAACTTTATCTTGTCCTAGTTTGTGTTGCGTCAGGCTCTCAGCTCAGCGTGGGGAGAGGCAGGGCCAGCTTTCCTGGGGGGTTATTGCAAAATCCTGGGGCCGGGCCCTGTACTACCCGCCCCCTCATTGTAGCACACGTGGTGAGTGAGTGGCGGCCTATCCAGTTTATCCCTAGTGGGGTGGCAGTGGGGACAAGTCACCCAGGTGGGGCTGCCACATCGATGACATTTTTCTTTCATTCTCCCCCATGTGACATTTTTAGTGGGTCACTCCAGTCTCCTGAACCCTCATACACTGCTGCCTTGTTCATCCTAGCCCTGCCCTCAAAGTCTAGCCACAGTCCCCTCCAGAGCTCGGCCTGTGGCTGGACACAGTGAGGGAAGGTTCTGGGCTTGAAGGCTGGGTGGTGGCCAGTGGGAAGGGGTGGGGTGGGGACAGGTGCTGTGAGGGAAGAAGGGAAGGGCTCTGAGGGTGGGAGGAGAGGGGTTTTCAGGAAGATGAAGAAGGTATGGGATCTTTATCTGGAGATAAAGATGTGGAGATAAGGAAAAGGGGCCGAGGCAGCTGCAAACCTGGTGTGGTGATCTGAGGAGGGGTGGGTGGTAAAAGTGCTCTGCGTGTCCAGGATCGGGGTGGTTCCCTCTAGAAAGTCCCCATCCTCTGAGGGACATAGGTCACCGCAGTCCAAGTTTCAGAATGAGTGATTCCTAAATGCCAAGTGGGTCCAAGATGAAGTTTTCCAGTCTCTGTGGAAATGAGAAAAATAAAGACTTTTTGACTAACCTGAATGTATTCAGTTATTTAAATTCCAAGAATATGTTCTCTTTTTTCTGTGTTAAGTGTCCTTTCTTTCACGAAGTTGTTGTAATGGCAGATGACAGTTTTGTGGGGTTTTTTTTTTTTCATGTTCTTACGTGTATTCTGAGAGTCCTACAAGTGCCCCAAATTAATTTTGACATATTACTGAAAATGGAGGCCAAATGAGTCTGGAGCTTGTGCTGCCTGCACCGCTCAGCCAATAAACCGACATAGGAGTTGGGTCATAGAATAAGTGTTTATTATCAGAGAACCGGTGGTCTGAGAAAGCAGCAGGTTAACACCTCCCAAAACTGCTTTAACATTCTCAGACCGGCTTGGGGTTTTTAAGGGAAAATCTGGGCACTCTTCCAGAGGCTACGTGACTGACTGTTCCAGGGGTCTGCATGGAATCTTCCCTGTGGCCATGTGATTCTATGGTGGAGTCAGCAACCCAGGAACAATGATGGGAGTAGCCTGGTAGACAATTGAGATTGTGATCAATAAACCTAAGAGTATTAATCATAAAATTTCAGGGTAATTTTCTAAAATAGGGAACTGGGTGGAACAGGGGACATTCCCAGCTCAAGACTCAAGGGGACGATCTATTGTTAAACTATAGGTAGGTTAATGAAAGGTGAGGCCGGGGTGTGGAGAAGCCTCTACCATTGAGATAGAAAAATTATAGGTAGTCAGGGCAATGGCCACGGTAGAAGGAATTAGGGCAGAAACCATAACAGAGCCAGGAGAAATAATCTTAATAGCTGACTGATAACTTTAAGTCTCAGGACACCGCCAGAATGACAAATTTGGGAGGGGGAGGAGGAGATGGGTTTTTTTCTCAAAGCCTATAACAAAGAAGTGGGAAGTTGGAGAGGGGGGATTAAGACAGGTTAGTTAACATAACATAAGGCAGTCAGGAAGTCCCTGATAGAGCAGAAGGCAATGATATCTTCAAGGCCCCAGTCTTGAGATACCATAATCCTATCAGAACAGAGACATCAATTACACTCTGAGGCAACTAGAGACAGTTTAAAGGGAGTAGTCCCCCACCTAATACGGGCACCCTGGTCAGGACCCCCTCTCGTTTGGAGAGCTGTAACTTTGTGCTCTAATAAAACTATCCTCTGCTACAAACTCTACCTCTCTGGTCTGTGTCTCCATTCTTCAGCTTCACGAGGCTATGATCCCCGCACAAGAAATATCCTACATCACTATGGGGGTGCCAACCGGCCCAGTTTCATTACTGGCTCATGTGATCCAAATGTTTGAGAATAATTAACTGTTCAAGTCTGTGGAGTGTAAAATTTATTTTATTTTCTTTAAAAAAAAATGTTTTTTTTTCTGACTTTGAAGAAATATGTGGCTCATATATGGGAACAGTGAACTCCAAGTTCAGGCCTGATGTTTCCTCGGAGAGGGAGGCACAGAGGCCCTCAACTGATGCCTTCATGCTTTGTTTCTTAAGCTGGCTGACTAGCTGTTTATTCACCATATTGTTGTATGTCTAAAATATGTTATACTAAAAACAATGTATGCAGTGCCTGGAAGATTAGAACTTAAAGAGGGAGGGAGAGAAATGAAGCCACCAGCAGCCCAGAGATGTAGGACATCTGGCTGGTATTGGAGAGAGGACTTTAGAGGCTTCTCACTGATGAGCTGTTCCCATAGTGGGCTTGATGGGGCCTCAAGGCAAGAAGAAAGCAGCAGAAATGAATCTTTCTCTATTGACCCAGGAGAACAGAAAGAGAATCTGAGGATCTGGGAGAGGAAGTCTGGAATGACAGAATAATTTGGAATGGACTGGAGGGCTCTGAGGGCCGTCCCCTCCAGCAGAGCTTCACATCACCACCCCAGCTGCTGTTAAGTTGAGACCTGGCAGCTCTGCTCCAGGGGGAGCTGGCCCTGAGTAGGGGTTGGTAAGGACCCACAGGGTGGAATGTCCTTTGGGAGATGGAAATCTCTGAGTTTTAGTGACTCTTGTCACACCTGACTCTGTAGGAGATACACAGAACTGGCTTCAGTGTTGACTCCTAGCTTCCTTGAAGGCCTTTGAGGGTGGAGCCGGGCTATGAGTTCTGACAATTAAGTTCGTGAACTCATCCCAGAAAAAGTGCTACATACCTCATTGCTGAATATCACTATGGTCACCTTCGAAGCACTCCCCTTGGGAAGCTATGCACCGATGCCAGAGCCTAGTTCATCCTTCAAAGCAATTTTGAAACTCTTTTTCTGGAATGGCCATCAGAGCTGTCGTCATATTACCCTTGATGTCTTGAATGTCATCAAAATGTCTTCCTTTCAATATTTTCTTTCTCTTCAGGTAAAGAAAGAAGTCATTGGGGGCCAGATCAGGTGAATAGGGAAAGTGTTCCAATACAGTTATTTGTTTACTGGCTAAAAACTCTCTCACATACAGTGCTGTGTGAGCTGGTGCATTGTCGTGATGCAAGAGCCATGAATTGTTGGCAAAAAGTTCAGGTCGTCTAACTTCTTCACACAGCCTTTCCGCACTTCCAAATAGCAAGCTTGGTTAACTGTTTGTCCAGTTGGTACAAATTCATAATGAATAATCCTTCTGATATCAAAAAAGGTTAGCAACATCATTGCCACAAGTTTGCGAACTTAATTGTCGGACCTTGTACACTGTCCCCTTGGAGTCCTTGCAGCAGCCCTGTCCCAGCCTAGAACACTGAGGAGATCACAAAGTGTGCTAGGAGCCTCTGAGGAGCCCATGTGGCTTTAGGTCACCCTGGGGAAATTCAGTTCTCCGAAAGCCATTTCTCTGAAAATCAGCTTGCCAAGACACAAGTTCTGCAAATGGTACATT